CTGCGGCTGCTGCAACGGTGGAGGCAGCGGGGCAGCTGGACCGGGCAGGGTCCCCACGTCCGCACCGGCACCGGACGACCCGCCTCCACCACTACCCCCACCCGCACCCCCGCCACCTCCGCCGCTCCCAACCTTGGGGCGGCGGCCCTTCCCCGAGCGGGACTGCACTGCAGCAGCAGTCTCAGCCACAGCGACAGAGCCGTCGGAGAAGGTACACTGAGCGGGGGCACAACCCTGAAAGATAGGGACCGGTACTGTACCGCTCGCCTGGGCTATGGAGCGGTGACGAGTCTCTATGGCAGTCAGGGTGTCAACAAAGTCGGTGAGGGTGAGAGCAGCAGGGTGGATGCTAACGAACTGGTCGCGGGCGGCGGCAAGGCGGTCAGGGAGGCGGGTGGCAAGGAGGTAGAGGGTAGAGGTCATGGGAGGCTGGTGGACTCTAAGCTGTGCATCAGTGCAGGCAGCGCGCCAGGCCTCATCTATCGAGCGCAGGTGGGCAGCGAGGTCAGAGACAGTGGGGAAGGACGCCAGGTCAGGAAAGAGCAGGGGGAGGATCAGGCGACCCACTGAGGCAGCAGGAGGGGTAGAATAGCGCTTGATGACAGCATCGAGGTAGGCCTGGGCGGTAGTAATGGTTCTAAAGCGAGGGCGCTCAAGGGGGGGGAGGGCATTGCTAATGGCGAGCTGAGCAAGGGCATCGCGGGAAAGCCAGACAGAGCGGGCAAGGGCAGCGGCGGCAGTGGACTCGCGCTCAGCGGGCGTGGGATCAGCGGGCAGCACAGCAGGGGGGTCAGGGCAGGGGAGCATACCGTCTAGGTGTGCAGAAAGCGGGTGGCCGTCCTGCCGCTGACCAGTGAGGTGGCGGCGAAGGTCAGCCAACCACGCCTCGAACTCCAGAGGCTGACCCTCAGCATCAAAACGAAGCTCAGCAGCCATGAGGGGCAGTGGAGGACAGTGGAGTGCGGTGTAGTGCTGTGCAGTGCGGTGCAGGGCGGTGCAGTGCGGTCCAGTGCGGTGCAGTGCGATGCAGTGCGGTGCAGTGCGGTCCAGTGCGGTGCAGTGCGGTCAGTGCGGTTCAGTGAGGTGCAATGCGGTGCAAGGCGGGGCAGGAAAGTGCAGGAGGGTGCAAAGTGGTGCGGGGAACGGGGGACAGTACCAGGAAGTATGGAGGGCCGGGGCAGGCGCGACGGGGCCGGGCAGGCGCGACGGGGCCGGGCAGGCACGTCGAGGCCGGGCAGGCGCGACGGGGCCGGGCAGGCGCGACGAGGGGCCGGGCGGCTGCGACGGGGCCGGGCGGCAGCGACGAGGCCGGGCGGCTGCGACGGGGCCGGGCGGCTGCGACGGGGCCGGGCGGCTGCGACGGGGCCGGGCGGCTGCGACGGGGCCGGGCGGCAGCGACAAGGCCGGGCGGCAGCTACGAGGCCGGGCGGCAGCGACAGGGCCGGGCGGCAGCTACGAGGCCGGGCGGCAGCGACAGGGCCGGGCGGCAGCGACGGGGCCGGGCAGGACACAGCAGGGCCGGGCGGGGGCGACGGGGCCGGGCGGGCGCGACGGGGCCGGGCAGGTGCGACAGGGGCCGGGCAGCTGCGACAGGGGCAGGGCGGGCGCCACGGGGCCGAGAGGCTGCGACAGGGCCGAGCTGGGGCGACGGGGCCGAGCAGGGGCGACGGGGCCGAGCAGGGGCGACGGGGCCCAGGAGGGTGGATACGGGGCCCAGGGAGGAGCGCGGCAGGGCCCAGGAGGGGCGCAACAGGCCCAGGAGGGGCGCTACGGGCCCAGGAGGGGCGCAATGGGGGCCCAGGAGGGGCGCGGCGGGGCTCAGGAGGGGCACTACGGGCCTAGGAGGGGCGCGACGGGGCCTGGGAGGGGCACGACGGGGCCCAGGAGGGGCGCTACAGGGCCCAGGGAGGGCGCGACGGGTCCCAGTAGGGGCGCTACGGAGCCCAGGAGGGGCGCGACGGGGCCTGGGAGGGGCGTTACGAAGCCCAGGAGGGGCGCTACGAAACCCAGGAGGGGCGCGACGAGGCCCAGGAGGGGCGCTACGGGGAGCTACGGGGCCTGTGAGGAGCGCGACGGGGCCCAGGAGGGGCGCTAAGGGGCGCGACGGGGCCCTGGAGGGGCGCTACGGGGCCCAGGAGGGGCGCGAAGGGGCGCGACGGGGCCCTGGAGGGGCGCTACGGGGCCCAGGAGGGGCGCTAGGGGGCGCGACGGGGCCCTGGAGGGGCGCTACAGAGCCCTGGAGGGGCGCGACGGGGGCCTGGAGGGGCGTTACGAAGCCCTGGAAGGGGGGCGCGACGGGGCCTGGAGGGGCGCTACGAGGCCCTGGAAGGGGCGCGACGGGGCTAGGGGGAGGGGTCGCGACTGGGCTCAGGAGGGGCGAGGCGAGGCTAGGAGACGCGACGGGAGGAGCGGAAGCGGTAGGTGGGGGGGGGCGGGGGGGGGGTCGAAACCTACTCGTGATACCATATCAAACCTAGAATTGAATAAAGTAAGAGAGAGAGAGTACACAAACATATACCTAACTGTTGTACTCTCTAGAAGGTGACCCTATACAGTCTATACAAACATGATAACTACACATGTTTGACAGAGGTATGTGGGCCGGCAGCAGATGATTGGCTGACGAGCAATATGTCTTACGAAATTTTATGGCGAAGGTTTGTGTTCGCTAAGGTACCTGCTTGCGTGTGGGTGCCGCGAGGGTTGGAAACTTGGCAGCAGTGCCAAGTTTTTTGCCTCTCATTTGGCAGGGGTTCAACTCGGCAGCAGCGCCAAGTTTCACTCCTGCCTTGAAAGTTTTTTTTCCGATGCTTGGCAACCCCGCTTTCTACCCTTGACAAGTTTACAACAGTGAAATCCGTTCAGTGGTTCCAATTTCCAAAAAAACGCGCAACAGTGGAAGTGTATTCGCACATTTACGCCTCGAAATTGTCCAGCGCTCGGGGAATTACCTTCTACTTGTGCTCTGTTTCCTGCCCTCGGGACTTCCCTACTGCCAAGTTTGTCTAGGGTTCAGCTTGAGCCAGTTTGGCCAACTCAGACAGTTCAGTGATTGCTTCCTTGTAACAGGTGCTCAAGATGATGCATCTTGAGCTGAACTGACTTGCAACCTGCTGGTCGGGCTTTAATCCCCATCCTACTCCCCCTATCTCTTTACCATCCATAAATAATTAGAAGTGCTCGATTGTGACATGGGGATGTAGCTCAGATGGTAGAGCGCTCGCTTAGCATGCGAGAGGTATGGGGATCGATACCCCACTTCTCCAGAGCTGGCATTCTCGGCTTTTTCCAGCTGGCTTAGCTGAGTCAAGGACTTCCTCCTCTCACCTTATAAATTTGGCCCCGCCTGAAGCATATGAAACGTGTAATGGCGGACGACGCCCCGGCACGGTGCAGTGCGTCAGAAATGAGGATCCAGGGTTTAGACAGCGTGACTCTTTCAGGTCACGCAGTGGGTGTGGGAGGTCGTGCCATTCAGCGTGTTATGAGTCCGTTTATTAGTCAACTCAAAAATTGACTCATAGCTTTCGGAATTGAGGTTCCAGTGTGTTTGAAGGTGGGGCGACTCACGTCAGGTCGCACACTGTGCCGTCGTACCATTCAGCTCAGCCTACTTGGTTGTATCAAAGGATCGGAAATGAGAGTGTAGCAAGGGTCCTTTGAAGGTCAGCCAGGAATCTCAGGTTTTGCTTGCACTCTCGCAAAGAAGGAAGCTTACAGAAGGAACCTCAAGCGAGGAATTATTTATAAGCGTTCAATGTTGTTTCTTCCTGCCTTCCGGCCCTCTCCATGCCACCAAATCACTCCGCCATCAAGGCATCGAGCTGCTGCTGCTGCTGCTGCTGCTTCTGCTGCTGCACAGAGGGGTGCCTTGCTGTGACCCTACTGGTCGATGCACTACTCTAGTACTCAGGCTGTGCTATCGTTCCCTCCCTCCTCCCTCGTCCCCCTCGCAGGCCGCTCGGCCATCAAGGCCATCGAACTGCTGCTGCACAGAGGGGTGCCTTGCTGTGACCCTGCTGATGAGTTCTCTTTTCTGGTGTTGATGCTGTGCTATTGTCGCCTCTCTCCTTCCTCCTCCCTCCTCCCCTCCTCCTCTCCTCCCCTCCTCCCATTACCAGGTCGCTCCGCCACAAAGGCCATCGAGCTGCTGCTGCACAGAGGGGTGCCTGAGGATCTCACATCATCTTCCTTAACCTGATAACGGTGAGTTTTTCAGGAGTGCAGAGCGGTGCCGGACAGTGTCTTCTGGTGATACCTGGTGCTTGTTTCACCGCCTCTGCAACACCGAGGGGTGCCTGAGGACCACATCATCTTCCTCAACCTTGTATCAATGAGTTGTTATAGGGAGTGCAGAGTGGTGCCAACGCTGTTCCAAGCTGTTCCAAGCTGTTCCAAGCTGTTCTAAGCTGTCATAAGCTGGTGCCTAGAGCACTTCTAACTGCATCTGCTGCACAGAGGGATGACAAGGGAATCGGCGGGATTCGCTTGGCTGGCGGGAATGGATGGGCATGGATGCTTTCACTCTGTCAACTTCAGCGTACTCCTCTCCTCAGTACACTCGTGGAGCCACTTGGCCAAGCCAACGAGCATTTCTCCCTCTCTCTGCCACCTCCCGTCAGCGCATGTAGGCCAGGCTACCCAGGGACATCGCTCAGAGGCACCCTTCTGTCGTCTTTCCGTCATCTCTCGCCACACACTCCCATTCTGCCCCCCCCCCCCTTCCCTGCCGTCTCCCATCAGCTCGTATACGAGAAGCTCCCCAAAGGAATTCGCTCAGAGATCAGAGAGATTTGTTTCGTCAGATGTTCCTTTCTTTTCACCCTCCTCTCCTCCTTCTTCCCTCCCGTCTCCCATCAGCTCATATGCGAGAAGCCACCCAGGGACATCGCTCAGAGGCACGTGATGCCTCGACATCATGTATTTTGAGTCGACTCAAAATACAACTGGAGGCACGTGATGCCGCGACATCATGTATTTTGAGTCGACTCAAAATACAACTGGAGGCACGTGATGCCGCGACATCATGTATTTTGAGTCGACTCAAAATACACCTGGAGGCACGTGATGCCGCGACATCATGTATTTTGAGTCGACTCAAAATACACCTAGAGGCACGTGATGCCGCGACATCATGTATTTTGAGTCGACTCAAAATACACCTGGAGGCACGTGATGCCGTGACATCATGTATTGGTTTCGGGTTTTTTAGGCACCTCAAAAATGGCTTCGGGTAAGCTTTGAGTATGGTGCTGTGTCTCTGCCCCTCTCTCTCTCTCCAGGGACATCAATCTGAGGCACGTGATGCTGCTGGATCTTGTATTCGCTTCGGGTGAGTACCGCTAACTGCTCTCCCCCTCTGACCCCCCCCCCCCCCGGCACCACCCTAACTCGCACCTGTCTCTCCCAAGAGACATCGCTCAGAGGCACGTCATGCTGCTGGATCTTGTGTTGGCTTCAGGTGAGCACCACTACCTGCTCTCCCCCTCCACCACCCCCGCAGCCCCCTCACTCACACCTCTCTTCCCCTAAGAGACGTCTCTCAGAGGCACATCTTGCTGGTAGACCCAGTACTGACTTCAGGTGAGGCAGCAGTCACCTATTCTTTTATACGTGTCTGATATTTAGTAATTGCTCACGACAATATGGGGATGTAGCTCAGATGGTAGAGCGCTCGCTTAGCATGCGAGAGGTATGGGGATCGATACCCCACTTCTCCATGCCACCTTCTTTCCTTTCTGGCAAGGTTAGTAAGGAATCTAACGTTTTGCTTTTTGTAAGGTTAGTCAGAAATCTCACGTTTTGCTTTTTGTAAGGTTAGTCAGAAATCTCACGTTTTGCTTTTTGTAAGGTTAGTCAGGAATCTCACGTTTTGCTTTTTTAAGGTTGGTCAGGAATCTCACATTTTGCTTGCCCTCTGGCACAGACGGAAACTCCAAGCAAGCAAGTAATGATGCAAAAGGCAATGTTCTTCCCTCCCTCCTGCCTTCCCTCCCTCCTGCCTTCCCTCCCTCCTGCCTTCCCTCCCTCCTGCCTTCCCTCCCTCCTGCCTTCCCTCCCTCCTGCCTTCCCTCCCTCCTGCCTTCCCTCCCTCTCCATGCCCCAAATCGCTCCGCCATCAAGGTCATCGAGCTGCTGCTGCACGGAGGGGTGTTTTGCTGTGAGCCTGCTTATCCTCAAAGTATTGATACTCAATGCTGTTCCCCCCTGCCTTCCCTCCCTCTTTGTGCCCCAAATCGCTCCGCCATCAAGGCCACCAAGCTCCTACGCCATCAAGCTCCTATGCCATCGAGCTCCTACGCCATCAAGCTCCTATGCCATCAAGAATTCACATACTGGCCGTTCCTCCGTGCCTTCACTTCCGCAGGTCGCTCCGCCATCAATGCCATCGAGCTGCGGCTGCACTGAGGGGTGCCTAGAGTGGGTCATCGAGCCGAGTATTCAGACTCTAGTACCAAAGCGGTCACACTGATCCCTCCTTCTCGCGTGTCTCTATCTCTGCAGCAGGTCGCTCCGCCATCAATGCCATCGAGCTGCAGCTGCACAGAGCGGTGCCTGAGGCTCACATCGCCTTCCTCAACCTCACATGTGTGAGTTTTGCAGAGCGGCTGTAAGTGGTATGCAGTGATGCTGGGCCTAGTGCGGCCTAAAGGGGTCAAGTAAAATGTGACTCACCTCGTGTGTCGGCGCTCCCTGCACCTCAAGGTCGATGGGTCCTCCTGTCTCCCCTACCTTCCCTTTCCCACACTCCCTTCCCCAGGCCCCAGGGGGTATCCATAACGTGTGCCGGCGCTCCCCGCACCTCAAGACTGTGACATCACTTGGGCACCCCAGCATCGTTCTCTCGCTCACCTCTAACTTTCCCTGTCCTGTGGTGGCGCTTCCCGCTCCTCAAGTCCATGGTATCTAAGATCGACTCGGGGATAAACGAGGAGTGCAGAGTGGTGCCGGGGGCAGGGGAGTTTGGGGACCGGTACTTAGGCACGGGAGGGATGAGAGGAGGAGGGCGAAGATGGGAGGGCAAAGGTGAGAGGGATGGTAATGGGAGGGATGATGATGGGAGAGATGGCGGGATGTCGGGATGGTGTGATGGTGTGATGGTGTGATGGTGTGATGGGACGATTCTGCAGCTCTGGTGGCTTCTTCTCGTGGGCTGCTGCAGATGCAGCAATCTGGAACGTGACAGGTGAGGTATGCTGAAATGTGTTGAGATGCGCTGAAATGTGCTGAGGTGCGCAGAGGTGCGCTGAGGTGTGCTGAGGTGTGCTGAGGTGTGCTGAGGTGTGCTGAGGTGTGCTGAGGTTTGCTGAGGTGTGCTGAGGTGTGCTGAGGTGTGCTGAAGTGTGCTGATGTCGATGCCCTGTGGGTGGCTGGGGGGTCGTGCTTCGACTCCATCTTCAAGTAAGATGCTCACTATTATTTTCCCGGTCTTCCCATGGCCCATGCTTGCTCTAACCTCACTTTTGCCATTCTAAAAAAAAGAAGAAAAAAAAAAGCAGTTGCATCCAATATTATGGATGATGGGTCGGTCATTTGATTGGTTAGGAGGCGTTTGATGATTGTCATGTCCTGTAACTTATCATGTCCCGTAACTTATCATGTCCCCTAACTTCTCATGTCCCCTAACTTATCATGTCCGGTAACTTATCATGTCCCGTAACTTATCATGTCCCGTAACTTATCATGTCCCGTAACTTATCATGTCCCCTAACTTATCATGTCCCCTAACTTATCATGTCCCGTAACTTATCATGTCCCATAACTTATCATGTTCCAGTCCAAACTTAACAACACCTCCTTCCCCTTTCTTCAACCTCTTGGGCACGCTACAGGATGAAAATCTACTGCCTCTGTACTGTAGCCGTTTGCAAACTCTATACACTGTCCACTGTCCCCTATACACTCAGACTCGTTAACAGCACAGTCTCCATCAAAGCATCTACTCCTTTCTGTGTGCCCGAACTGTCGAGGTTGCCCACGAGAAAGTAGAGTGATATTATTTTTGTTGATGGATTAAGATTATAGGCCAGAGTTGGCCATCCAATGTGTGGATGACCTGAGTGGACGTGTGCTGGCATGGATGTGTGCATGTGGAAACATGATATGTGTAGCATGGGTATGTGCTGGCATGGATGTGTGCATGTGGAAACATGATATGTGTAGCAAGGGTATGTGTTGGCATGCCACGGGTATGTGTTCACATTAATGTGTGTTGCCTGCTGTGTTGGCATAGATGTGTGTTTACATAGGTATGTGCAGGTATGGGTGTATTTGCAGGCATGGGTGTATCTGCAGGCATGGGTGTATCTGCAGGCATGTGTATGTGCAGTCATGGGGATATCTGCAGGCATGGGTGTATCTGCAGCATGGGTATCTGCAGCATGGGTATCTGCAGGCATGGGTATTTGCAGGCGCATGAGCTTTGAGCTGCCATCCAGTTCTTGGTTTTGGTGCTCGTGGGTTCCATTGTTATATGAGGAGCAGACTCGAGCCAAGCTCCATATGGATTCCTGGCATTCTGCAGAATCCAACTTGTGTATGTAGTCCGCACTGTACCATGTGCTAGAAATGCTGGGATTTATCAGTACCAAATGTGTGAAATTCAATCACTGTATTGCTGGTCAATGAATGTTTTGTAATGTGTCCGCAAGTTCCGAGTCTTTCCGGGTTCTATGCACATGCGATACCAATCACAGAATTTACTACCAGATAACAGAATTCACAAAGCCAAAGCAAAACAAAACCAAAGCCAAAGCAAAACAAAACCAAAGCCAAAGCAAAACAAAACCAAAGCCAAAGCAAAACAAAACCAAAGCCAAAGCAAAAGAAAACCAAAACCAAAGCAAAGGCCAAAGCAAAAGAAAACCAAAGCCAATGAACCAAAGCAATGTGAATCAAGCAACTTCATACCCTAGATACAATCAAGAGGTCCTACATGAGTCATGCCACGATATTCACCCCAGATAGCCTCTGCATGCTGATGCGCTGCACAGGGCTTTGAAGCACCAGCGTACACCTCCGAATGTCCAAGGCGGTCAGCGTTTTCACCTCATGCAAATCCGCGGGCAGAGCTGCCAGCTGCTCACAGCCTTGCAGGTCAAGAATCCTCAGATTGCTCAAATGCGCGAAGTTGGAAGGAAGGGAGCGAAGTGCGGTGTTTTCCAGTATGAGCTCCTTGAGGCAGGCAAGCCGGGTGAGAGACGCAGGCAGGAGCTCAAGAGCTGAGCAACCTTGCAGGTTCAGCTTGTGCAGTCTAGTCAGGGCACCGATGCCATCTGGGAGACAGCTCAGCTTAGGAGCACGAACCACCAGGGAGGTCAGGTGCTGGAGCTCAGTAACACTTCTAGGTAACTCCTTCAATTCCTCTGTGTCATTAATACCCAAATGCCTCAGCTGCTGCAGCGCTGAACCAATTCCCACTGGAAGGCCCTCCAGCTGCTTAGCTCTGTGAATTCTCAAGATGCGCAGCTGACGAAGCAGCTCCAAGGGAAAGGGGAGCTCTGTGGTATGGTCTGTCAATTCCAGCTCCATCTGCGTCAGCTGTGAAAGAGTGTTGCTGAGTCCCAGACCACTGTCAGCACCCACGGACCTCAGCTTCAGCCTCTTGAGATTCAGAAGCAGCGAGATGTCGGGCAAAGGCAGATTCAGCTCGTGATGCTCCCATTCGAGGAACTCAAGAGACGTTGGGAGGGATTCAGGAGCTTGCCTCAGCAGCACACACCATTTGACTTCCAGCCGTTTAAGCCTGGTAAGGCTATCCAGCCTCACTGGAATTTCTTCAATCTGTTTGCACGATTCAAGGGTCAGGATTTCAAGGGCAATGAGGGCTGTGATTGGATCCGGAAGCACCTGAATTGGACACTCACAGATGCGCAGCTCTTGCAGGCGTTTCAGCTCCCCCATACCAGCAGGAAGCTCCTCTATTCTGCACCGATTCAGCTCGAGCCTGGTTAAGGACGAAAGCTGGGTGAACGAGGCAGGGAGGCGGTGCTGCTGGCTGTTACCCGAAAGAACAAACGTCTGGAGATTACCCAGTGCTCCTACGTCCTCAGGAAGCGTCAGCTGCGACATCTCCACGAAGCACAGCACCCTGAGAGCAGTGAGGCGGCACACATCCGCTGGTAGCTCTTTAACATAGTAGCCATTTTTTAGGAGCAGCGTTTCCAGAGGCGATTGTTGGCTGAAACAGTCACGCAGGTCGATGGAATAAACCCTACTTAGCACGAGCGTCCGGACAGCAGGCAGATGGCGGAAGTGCATAGGCAAGTCAAAAAGCGGGGAGCACTCGGCAATCGTCAGGATCTCAAGCTGGATCAGGGACGAGGGGTCTTCCGGCAACTGAGAGAAGGAAAAGCAGTTGCGAATGGTCAGCTCCCGAAGAACTGGCAGCAGTTGTCCGATGTTGTTCGGAAGACGTTCGAGCTCGTGGCAACCGGTGATTAGAAGCCGTTCAAGATGAGCGCATCGCGAGCCCGGAGGAAACATCACGTTGAACGGAGGACAGGACATGCGGAATTCCAGCGTCTTCAGGCAAGTCAGCTCGGCCATGCTGAAAGTAGCAGTCAGAACGTTTCGGTGGGTTGTCTGAAGGTCTGTACCATCAACCAGAAGCCTGGTCAGCCTTGGAAGGTGGACGAGGCATGAAAGTTGCTGATAAGCCAGGTTCTCGGAGAAGATATCAAGATCTGTGAGAGACGTGAGATTAGCAAATTCAGGGTATGTCGGCGCCGCTGCGTCCCCTAAGAAAAGAGTGCAGAGATTGGTCAGCTGGAAGATGGATGGCGGCAGCTCGCCATTTCTGCGCTCGAGGCGGTAAAGAGACAGATCCTCCAGCAGACTGCAGTGAATGAACAACTGATCCAAGCCAGCTCGAGTAATATGCTGCAAAGTATCGCTGTCGCGCAGAATTGTAAGTTTGTCTCCCACGTGGAGCGCCGTCAGCTTAGGGCAAGACGAGGCGAGGTGGGCGAGGAAGGCGTCGTCGAGAGCCTCCACGCTGTTGCCGCACAGATGTAGACGGGTGAGATTTGGGAAGCGCGCGACGGCGATTGAGAGATCTTGGCGAGAAACGAAGAGGTCCTCCTTGACGAGGAGGGTGGAGACGTAACGCCGAGCGACGCAGCGCCAGAGACGGCAGATAGAAGCAACCAGAAGAGTATGCGCGGCGTCTGCAGAGGCTGGGGGAGTTGGTTCGATATTCCTCTCTTCAAACGAACAGGATGCATAGACGCTACTCGGCATAAGGACGTCGCCAACATCGGATTTGGTAGGCTCGTGCGGCATGGAGTGCAATAAGATTCGAATCAGAACGTCCTCGGGAAGATTGTTGATGTGCAAACGCGACCCCATCTCGAAACCAGAAAACGGCTGTGAACACAGCTGAGGCGTGAACGATAAAAGCTGTAAAGTAGCCGAATCTCGACAAAGAACGAATAACAGCGGTATGGAATTTCATGAAGGTGATTCGCTATTGCTCTATTCGTGCTCTACGCTCCAGACTCCTGACCTCTCTAAGGCCTCTCACCCCTCACTGAGCTTCAGGGATCATCAGGTCTACCAGATGAGGGCGTGTCCAGGGCGTACGTTTTTTGTCAAAACCCTACCCAACCGTTTTAGATTTGTTATCAAACTTTCTGATCCGTAAGGCACCTCACCCAACCGCAATCAAACGTACGCGCTGGACACGCTGAGGTCGACATATCTCAAGCTGGGCTGGGCTGACGAGGGCTGGGGCTAGTGGAATTCGAGCGAGTACCGCGATTCCTTACTGGGGCTCGCCACAGCGAGTACCGCGAACAGTGTGTGTCCGCAGGCTCGGCCCTTGGTTATCGCGCCAAACCAGCCCACGCCGAGCCGAGCCCGTCGGACCCAACCTGACCCCGAATCGCCTCGAACCCGTTTTGACCCCGTCATCCTCGGACTACCGAGCCCTTGACTGGTCC